TGAAATTCCTTATTCTCTTGTTAGTTTTGTACATGTTTGACCATCTTTGAAAAACCAAATGCACATAGCCTTGTTAATGTGAAACTAAAGTATGACTTAAAGCTTCATATGTGAATTTAGTGACCATATACATCATATGTGAGTTTTTGAGCCTATTGAAAGTGTGTGCATTTTTCATACACTCCTATTTTTTTTATGTGTGATGATTTTATGTGAGATACATCTCTAGAACTTGCGTAACGATCTTTCAAAATGTTTGTCATTGATTGCATGAATTTGGAAATGATAGAGGCATTAGGTTTACCACCATGGCCCAAATAACCATGTTTTCCAAAAGAAAAATGATATCATTAGATTGCCAATTTGAGCCGTGTATGTTGAGCCTTTTATTTCTTATCACCAGATATGTCTACCCTTATACCTGAAACATTTTTTCCTTACCCTTTCCAAGCGAGCAATGCGAGATTGTCTTATGAGAAACGTTTGTGAAGTACTTTGAAGGTGTTTGGCAAAAGAATAAGTGTGGGGGTATTTCATGTTTGTATTTAAAAAAAAAAAAAAAGAAAAAGAAAGATTGTATACAAAGAAAATAAAAAGTTTTTAAAGTTTCAGTTTAAGGGTGTGATTGGAGGTATCAGAAGAATCGTTGGAGAGCTTGAGTTCTTATAAATCTAAACAAAAGAATTGCTTGCAATGTAGCTTGGAACTTGTGTTTTCCTATTCTTTCGTTTCAATAACCTTATCCCTAAGTCTCATTACATCCAATAAAAGTCCTCTTGATTTAAGTTTTGCAATTATGACTGTGGAGAAGTGATCTTTATGCAAGCTTATGGTAGAAATTTCACATTTGATTCTTTGAGCGAAACACATTAAAACTAAAACACATGTGTGTGATTTGAGTGTATATCCCGTGAGAAGGTTGCTAGTTTGCATATGATGATTTTAAAAATAAAAAACTTGAAATTGCATTAGCATGGCTATCTCACACACTACACTTCAAGGATGATTCAAAGATTACTGCTAATATTTGAATTAGGAAGATGAACTTGGATTAGTTCCTTGATGCTAGCTATGGTTCTTGATGATTTGTTTTCTTGAATGAAATTCTATGAGGGTCACATAGAGGGAAGCTAATGTTTTTCTTGTTACTTCTTGTTCTAGTTTTCTTTGTTTTGCTCGAGGACTAGCAAAAGTTAAGTGTGGGGGTATTTGATCGGATCATATTTATATATATTTTTACTTCGAATTCACTCGTCTTTTCTTAGTTAGTTCCTTATATTTTTGAGCTATTTACGTTATTTTTGTGTTTATAGGATTTGTTATGCAAAGAAAATAAAAATAGAACAAGTGAAATTTTATGTAATAAATTCGTCAAAACTGTCTGTGTAGATCAGCTTTTAAATTAAATTAAAAAATATATATAATAATGATAAGTCATGATGATGTTTGAAACATCATCATGATGGTTTTGTTTTGTAGAAGAAAAGAAAGGAACGGATGGAGAAGAAGAAAAAAAAAAAGGGAATAAAAGTATGGAAAGCAAAGGAATACGAGGGAGAAAGAAATCAGAAAAGGAGGGATCCAAAGCGTGAGGGAGGAAAGGAGTAAGCTGCCCTTGCAGCTTTGAGAAGGTCAGAAAAGAGATATAAAAAAATATAGAAAGAAAGGAGAGGTCAGAGAGGATAGAGAGACGGGCAGAGGTCAGAAACAAGAAAGAAAAATATAAAAAAGGCAGGAAGCTGCCTTAGCAGCGGGAAAAAGAGAAGAAAGGGAAGGCAGCAACAGAGGGGGACAGGCGCAAAAAATAAAGAGGATAGGCGCGGAAAAGAACAGCTGCCTGGCAGCTAGTTGGTCATAGGCTGCACAGAGCAGAAGCACAGAGGCAGAGAGCAAGCTTCTCCTCTTTCGGTTAAAACTTTTCAACTTATATTTTACTTTTGGTTAAATGTTTTAATAATGTGTAACTAATTTTATTTTGGCTAGAGGTTAATTCGAAACCATGAATATATTTGTAATATGAATTGATTACCTTCAGTTGTGATTTCTGAGTTGTGATTTAATTTGCTTAACTGCTTGATGATAACTTATTTTTGTATGTCGATTAAGGATGCATACTTAATTTACATGCATGAATTTGATGCTAGAATATAAGTGAATTTCACCTAATCGTTATGAACTTATATTCACAAGTAGTGAAGGTTGTTATCCACAATCGTGTTAAGTGAATTCTTGGCAAGAGTATCATGCTTTTCATAGTTACGAATGCCTCGTCAATGCTTATAGTTTTCACAAAGTTTAATGATCTTTGATTGTATCTCTATTGTGCTTTTCACGTAGGGGACTTTTGAAGAATGTTTTGAATTGTTGTATGCGTTTTTCCCGTCCAATTCAATAACTTAAGGAAAACTTGAAGATTAAAAAAGTGCTGTTCACGGTTAATCTGAAGTGTTGAGATTCACAACTTATTGAAAGAACAACTGAAAATCAATTTAGGTTGCATATGTGTCATGTGTAGAGAAGAACCCTCTAGCTAGTCCGTCATTTATCCTTTCACCTTAATTTCATGTTTTTGTCAATTCTGTAATTTATTTAAGTTTAATTTACTTCTAGTCAAAACCAAACACCCTTCCATTATTAAATTATATTATTTAGTTAGTTTTCATTGTTGTTAGTCTTTTAATTCAATTTCCGTCCATTTCAGTTCCTAGTGTCTAATTTGATTGTTTTCATTATTTTGAGTTATCCTAAGTGTGTTCGAGTTATTAGAGTTTTTAGCCTAGTTTTGTGTCCTTGAGTCTTATTTAATATTTTTAAATTAATTTAGAATAGATTAGCAATCCCTCCTAATCCCCGGCCTAGAACGATACCCTACTTACATCCATACTACAATTGTCAAAAAGAGGGTTTAATTTGTGTGTCAAGAAATTCTCACATCATTGGGCGAAGCGGAGGAGATAACAGAGGTTAAGAGAGTCGAGACTAAAGTGAAGTTGAAGAGGTGTCGAGTGAGATAGGGACGGTATCAAATCGATGGCTGAGATTATTCGACGACTTTAATAATTTTTAATTTTATATATTATTTATAATTAAATATATACACACACATATACATATATTAATATTTATACCAGTTCGGTACAGTATTACCGAACAAACACGGATTCTATACCAATTTCCGTTCCAAAAGTTTCATTATTGGTTTGTTTTTGGATATCAAATAGTTCAATATATTCGGTTTGGTTTCGGTAATTAACATGTTACCACGAAAACGACAAACATAATCGATTTGTGACTGAGAAATTTTATTTAGATCCAGTTAAATTATTTCTACACTCATTAATTTTTTTTAAAAAAATTTATATTCCAATTATGCCCTAATGAAAAGATGAGTGTAGAAAGATATTACCAACTAGTGAATGTGTGGGTCGAAGTGGCCCTGAGAGCCCCAGTTGGCGGTTAGGTGGGTTACCGGAAATCGAAAAGAGGGATTAACGGAGGGTGGAGATGAACGGTAAAATGATAGTGGAGGAGGGTAGTGGCCTTCGACGAAATCGGGAGATCGTGTTACTTGAGCTAAGTTGGGTTCATTTCAGAAATATAAGGTTTCTGATGTTGATATCGATCACTCTCTCTATCTCTCTCTCAAATTTTGGTCTCTCATCAATTCCCTCTTCACCCAATTTCAAATGACTACCAGCTTTTTCATCCTTGAAAACATATATAGCTTTTTAACTTGTCCACGTTTGGGATTGCATCCTTATTCCACGAATTGCAAGATCACACTGGTCTTTTGAGCTGCAATTTGCTAGTTTATTTATTTATTTTTAATTGGTTAATTAAGTTTTAAGGAAACTACAAAAAATGTGTGGAGGTTTTAGATTCGAAACCCGCTGCTGGTGTGGAAGTCAGACTTGTGATTATGGGTTGAAATGCCTTTGTAAGTCTTCCTGATCCCCGGAAGAGGTAAATAACCGTGACTTTCCACTTATTGTCCCTCCTTTTAAAATTCAAAAAAAAGTTTTAAGGAAATAGTAGTGGACCAAAATCTAGCTCCATAGAGATGAGCACAAAGAATTGAACAATGACGAGATAATAGAGTAGGTCGGCGACGACAATTTATTTAATGACAATCGGAATCAAGTCCGATTACTGCCATAGTAGATGGTTGGGTGTGTTAACGTGTTTGTGTTCCTTTTTTGTTCTATTAACATCCCACAATCTTACGAAGACACCCCACACTTCAAATTTGTCACCTGAACTTCCTCTTTTTCCCCTATTTGAATTAAGATAAGAAAAAGAAAATCCAACCATCCAATTATTTACCAGCCAACTACCTCACACCCATCCACTTACCATGGCACCACATTATCAAAAGTTCATCTTCTTATTCTTATGATTATCTGTAATTAATATCTGGCATCAATTGTCAAGAAACTAGTGCTTGTTGATTTTATTTTTATTTTTTTAACGATAAAACAAATAGAAATCAAGAGATCAAAATTAACCCAAGATCCATCAAAATATTAATATAAATTGCAGTACTTCAACTCTGATACAATTGCAAATGACGTTAACTGAATTACAAAAATTCAAGCTCCTGATTGTACTTGCGAGCCAAAGCCATCAGAGAAGGCTTGATAATGCCTCCATGGAGCCTCAGCACCAGTTGAAGAATCGACTCTTTCTGGATGTTGTAGTTAGCTAGGGTTCGGCCATCTTCGAGCTGCCTGCCGGTGAAAAGATCAGGCGCTGTTGGTTCGGCAGAATGCCCTCCTTGTCCTGGATATTTTTGGGGTGGAATGGCTTCAGAAATTTGAGAGACAAAGTTGGAATTTTTGAGGAATTTTTTTGGATGTGGGTGGATTCATAACATTGTGGGGTATGTATAAAACAACCTTTTTTGTTTTTAAAGTTTGTCAATTTTGTATTTGAGGGTAAAAGGGTAAGTTTGAGGTACAAAATTTTCAAAGTTGGTTGTGAAAAGAGAATTATTGAGTATAAATAAAATTTCTCTGTGATTGTCGAATGAGAAAGGAGAAAAAGGAAAGGGAAGGAAAAAGAAAAGGCGATATGAGGAAGAACAAGTGTAATATTTGGGCCGGTAGTCGGGTTAAACAAGGTTTCACCCAGAAACTGAAGTGAATTAGGGCTAAATGACTTAAGAATCCGTTTTCAATCGTACACCACCTCACCTGCTTTGATACGTATCACCCTCATCCTCCTCGACACCTTTAAATCCCACAGCGTATAGGAACTTGTTGCTTGCGATCGCCATTGAAATCCAAAGGACTCATCAGGTAATCATAATTGCGATTTGGGGTCTCAGAAAGATTTGATTTTTGCCCAAACCGATGGAAACAATCAAAGAAATTGATTTCGGATATAATTTTCGTAATTTGTTAATTTAATTTGTCAATTTTTAGTTTTGTTGAAGAGGGTTTGATTTGAATTGAATGGTTAATGTAGTAGTGGTAGGGAGGAATGTCGAGGCTCCATGTGGGAGGGAAGGTGGTGGACAAAGTTGATTTGTTGAGGACTAAGAGCTTGCTGTGGCGATTCGATGTCTGGCCTTTCGCTATCCTTTACGCTCTCTGGCTTACTACAATTGTGCCCAGCATTGACCTTGTGGATTCCGGGATTGTTTTCGGTGCCCTCGTAGCGCTTCACATTCTCGTTAGGCTTTTTACTGTTTGGTCCGTCGATTTCAAATGCTTTGTACATTATAGCAAGGTATGTATATACTTTTCATGTACGCATCTCAATCTGTGTATGTATACTACTCATATATGTGTGTGCGCTTTACCGTACAACTATGTAGTTGCTCCATTGCATAGTGTAGGTTGTTGGTTTGGCAAGAAACAACCACTCTGTCGTGTGTATACGAAAATTGCCACTCTCCTTAGAGTGGGGGTCTCATGCTGCCGCTTCTCACGTGTGTTTAAAATATGTCGTATATATATGTATTTATATACAAGTATATAGCGACGCTCTATTCTGAGTGAGGATTTGGCATGTCAGTGAGGACCGTATACATAATCATCAACAATTTTGATGGCAATAGGAGAGAGTCTGGAAAGAAAGCATTTTTCTGGGCCTCAATAATAGAGACTAGCAAAATAGCATTACTCTTTAATATATATGTATATCCTAACTGGTATGGGAAGACATGAATTGGAACCTAACTTGATGGAATTCTTTTGATGATTTGTTGTAATTGGTGATTCTTTTGGTCTTCAGGTAAATGATATTCACCAGGCATGTGCATGCAAAATAACGCCAGCAAAATTTTCTGGTTCTAAAGAAATAGTATCACTTCATTTCCGTAAGCTTGTAAGTCAATTATACAGTTTGAATACTTCAACTACGCATTCTTTTAATTTCATCACAGATATTCAATAGATAATATTGTTCTACAGTTCCTGGTTACTAAGAACTATCTCTATTATTAATTACTTTTCCCCACTATGGGAGCTAGCCCTTGGTTTGTCTGGTGATGTAATGCATGAAATTTTCAGGGAGGCTCCTCATCCTCAGTGGATGTTGAAGAGATTTACTTTGACTTCAGAAAGCAACGTTATATCTTTTCAAAAGAGAACGATAACTTTTGCAAGCTTCCTTACCCTACCAAGGAATCATTCGGTTACTATTTAAAAAGTACTGGCCATGGCTCTGAAGCTAAAGTTGTTGCTGCTACTGAAAAATGGGGACGGAATGCGTTAGTTACCTTTCTTATTTCCCCTTTTCCTTCTTGAAAACGTATTTGTTGAATCTTCATCTTTGTTTTGATTTTTCTTGCTTATACTTTGGAATGCAGTAATGTTAGTCTTGACCATCCCTTATCCAATTTTTATAACATTAGCAAAAATGCTGATTCAGTGCTGGGAAACATTGTTGTCTGTTTCACTCTAACCTGTCAATGTGCATGCTTGCAAACATAAGGAAACCTCATTTGGTTCCCTGTAAATTGAACTAAGTTAATATATTCAAGAACTCAAATTCCATGGCTGCTTCAAATACTTTAAATGTTTTGACAAAAATTATGAGATGAGCGGATGATAAAGCATGGTCCGTTGAGATGATTCTTCCTGCCCATGATAAGTTAGATGGAATGGTCTCAGCAATTTTCAGAAAAAAACTTAAATGTTCAGTATTTGAATTCTAAGTCTAGATCTAGAATGATAAAATTTGACATAAGGGTAAGGGTCTTTGAAGCTTTACAGTTGAGGAGGAGGTGGTGCTGCGGGATAGGCTCCTTCCTGGATATATTCTTTGGCCCACTTTTAGATAGAATAGCTGCTATGGTTTAGGAATGATTCTGTCATTTTTTCCCATTTTTTTCCCATTTTTTCCGTAGTGGAGCATGCTGTACATTGAGCATGATCCAGTTAATTTATCATTTTTAAATGGTCCTTGTTGCACACTTTTCTTGGTTTTGCAGATTTGAATATCCACAACCTACATTCCAGAAATTAATGAAAGAAAATTGCATGGAGCCCTTCTTTGTCTTCCAGGTTCTCTCTCTCTCTCTCTCCAATGTGAGAGTTCCTTTTCGTGCATGCTCCCTTTCCTTAACTACATTCTTTTGTGCTCCCTGCATGTAGGTTTTCTGTGTGGGTCTCTGGTGTTTGGATGAATATTGGTATTATAGTTTGTTCACTCTTTTTATGCTGTTTATGTTCGAGTCAACAATGGCTAAAAGTCAGTTAAAGACTCTTACTGAGCTAAGACGTGTCAGAGTGAATAACCAGACCCTCATGGTGCATCGCTGTGGAAAGTACGTTGTCTATGCGGCAATTATTTATTTGTCATAATATTTAAGCTGTTTATGCTTCATGCATTGACTGCTGTAAATTTTAGGTGGATAAAGCTTGCTGGAACTGATCTTTTGCCCGGAGATGTTGTTTCTATCGGGCGAGCTACTGGTCCAAATGGAGAAGATAGGGCTGTGCCAGCAGATATGCTTCTATTAGCTGGAAATGCTATTGTCAACGAAGCTATTCTCACAGGCGAGTCTACTCCCCAGTGGAAGGTGGTCACCTCTTGTCAACTTATAAAGTGTTAAATGTCTGTCTTTGCAGCACTTTGGTTTCTTAATTTATGCATGTGCACACACGCATAGATTCATGCATCTCAATGTGTATACATTCTTCCTGGCGGTGATTGCTTGGCTAAATTGCTTTGGTATAGTTTTCTCGTTTTATTTAATATTACTCTTAGTCTTATCTTTGTCTACACTTTCTCCTTTTTCCTTTTTCCTTTTTCCTTGAGGCTTGATGCAGTTACAAAAGCTTAATGTTCTTGTATAAATTTGAAGATGTAGGGTTGATTCAAAGTTTGTGAGGATAATGAGGGTGTGGGTTGATGAATCATTCTTGGCATGAGTTGGACAAGGAAATTAGAGCTAAGAGCCTAAGACTGCAAATAGAAGTAAAGGTAGGTGAATTGAGAGGCAGAGGAAGAAAGAAGAAGAGGGACAATATTAGGAAGCCACGACTCATAGTAAACTGGTCCTGAACTGAATGAAACTTCATTCACAGTCTGAAAATAATGAGTTTTAAGTTCACTGTGATCTTAAACCCTATATTTGAGGAAATTTGGTATAGGAAAGTTTGGAGATTCTGTGGGCTGGAACAGGATACAGTTTTGGAAGAAAAAGGTAGTAATCAGGAATTTTTGTCTGTAAAATCTGGTTATAGGATTTATGAGTAGCAGCAAAGTTTCTGATTTTTATGATTGCTTTGGTGGTCATTGTGAGGTTGTGACTAATCGTCCCACATAGGAAAGTTAAGAAACATTGCAAGGGTTTATAAGGAGTTGGGGTACTTCCCCATTGCCAATTGGTTTTGGGGTGGAACCTCAACTCTTTTTGCAGCATTTATTGATCTATGTCCTTTTTTACCCAATCCTTCTCGGATAATATGCAAAGCTGCAGTACCTTGTAAGGTACAAGGTCTTGCTTGGATAATTGCTCATACGTAGGGATGAGTACCATCCAACCCAAGGAAACCTAATACATGTCTGTTATCCTCTCTTGTATTTTATCCACAAAAGGTAGCATAAAATATTGATAATTTATATCCATTTCCCTGTTGCACTTAGAAAATGGGGCTATTCTTCAAAGCAAGCGTGCATCGGCACTTATGGCTTATTGTGGAGACTGTTATTTGATGAAACGTTATAGCTTTGCTGGAGTAAATTAAATATAGGATTATTTTCAGGTATCAATCATGGCCCGAGGAACTGAGGAGAAATTATCAGCTAAGCGAGATAAAGGTCATGTCTTATTTGGTGGGACTAAGATATTGCAGCATACTCCGGATAAGGTAGTTTATGTTAAAAATATGTTTAAGCCAACAAACTTTATCATTAATGTTTTCTTATCGAATATCATTAATGTTTCATAATCTCATGGGTTCTGTATTTATGCTTTCCTTATTTCAATGGAGTCAGGGCTTTCCTTTAAAAACCCCCGATGGTGGCTGTGTGGCTGTTGTTCTGAGAACTGGGTTTGAAACAAGTCAGGGGAAACTTATGCGTACAATTTTGTTTTCTACAGAGAGGGTATTTTTGCAATGACTACTCAACTCTATATACATTACTGTTTACTTCGCTTTTACTTTATATAGTGTATTTACATACGATTTACTGTAGGTGACAGCTAACAGCTGGGAAAGTGGGCTGTTCATTTTGTTCTTGGTCATATTTGCAGTGATAGCTGCTGGTTATGTACTAAAGAAGGTAAAAGTGGTCCCTTGATAGGTAGATGTGAGACTTGATGCTTGTGTAGTGTTATTTTCTGACAATCAGTACGTCTATGATGTAGGGGCTTGAGGATCCCACTAGGAGCAAGTACAAGCTTTTCCTTAGTTGTTCACTCATTATTACTTCTGTGATTCCTCCTGAGCTGCCAATGGAATTATCTATAGCTGTTAATACATCTCTGATTGCTCTCGCACGCCGTGGAATATTTTGTACCGAACCTTTCCGAATTCCTTTTGCTGGAAAGGTATGTTGCGACCGCATAATTATGTCTTCCTTTTTTTTAATTTCTCTTCACTTGTTTAAAGGATGCTCTTTTGACGATGCCGCTGTAATCTTTTTCTTGGTTTGTAACTGATGTATCTAGTTATAAAGATGAAAAGCACAACAAAAAATACCATCCACGAAGCTATCTAGCTATCTGATCTACAACTAATAAAGATGATCTTATATTACAATGAAACTTTATAAAGTAATAGTTTATAACACAGAACTCTCCAGTCATTGAAAGTATTGCAAAATGAACTATCCATCAGCTCTGAAGAGAATACTGAAGCCCAAAGTGAGCAACCTCCTCATCCCATTCATTTCCAACTACACCACCCTGAAAATTGTGAGACAGCACCGTGTTGTACTTTTATGCGCAAACGGAAGTGAATTCTAACAAAGTACCAATATCAACGTTGTAGGTGAAAGCTAAAACAAACAATCTCAAACTAACACAAGAGATTTACGTGGTTTGGCATAAAGCCTACGTCCATGAGCGAAGCACGGCAAGGAATTTCACTAAACAAACGGAGATTACAAAAGAGTGTTTAACTCTCACAACCCAAATCCCACAAATTACAAACCCTAAACCAAATGAGTAGAGAACTCAACAAACGGAGAAGATTCTCCCAAATTGCTCTCTAACTCACGAACTCACAAATTGACTCTCACCAAATTGCCACACAAATGAGCCACGAATTTGCCACACACTCATGACTCCAAACGGTGACCTCCACCCAAAACCAAAATAGAGAAAAGCTCTCTAAACCATGATGAGGCACACTAAATACACTAACCCTAAGGTCCTATTTATAGTACATAGGACTTAGGTTACAATAAGAATTCTAATAGGAAATAAATCCAAATCCTAATCAAATAGGTAATTAACAAAATCTCTCCACCAAGGAAACTAACTAAGAAGTCAAAACCAAACCCAAATAGGACACCAAAACCAAACAGGTAACACAAACCTAATTTATTGCATCATCCTAATTTTGAGCCAAAAACCCAACACACCGGGCCCCACTTTATCCCTCCAATGAATTTGTAACTCTCATACAATAAGGCATTGCATGAAACTGGAATTTCCCAGCTCACATTGTACTCTCCCTGAACAGTTTTCCCCAAGGTCAAAACAATGGGACAATGAAGCAGCAGTTCTTACACATCTATCACCATAAAACTGGATAGAGTTTCTTTATTCATGATGAATTCATTTCTCTAGTGTGCTAGACGACAAATACAAGTTTTGACTGCTTAGCCTGCATCATTCTGACATCTTCCTCCTTTTCAAGCAGAAAATGTGTTCTAGAGATTTACATAATGTGATAGTATCTTTAAAATTAGTAGAGTCATCAACCATACTTTACCCTTTGGTTACACATCTACACATCAACCATACTTATTCGATACTTGTACCTGACTTTTACTACCTTATTTTAACGGTTTGTTTGTACTGACCAGGCTGTTGCCCAATATGACATACCGTACAGTCTCATTGTGCTGTACAAAGTATATTTTGATACATTTGTTTACTGTTTTCCGTGCAGGTTGATATCTGCTGTTTTGACAAAACTGGAACACTTACATCAGATGACATGGTAGTCCATCTTAATTTAGTATATGCTGCTCATTAAATTGCCTTGGATTTATACAAAATTTATTGCTTTTCTCTTGCTCTTCTCCAGGAGTTTTGTGGAGTTGTTGGGTCGACTAGCAGTACAGATTTAGAAGCTGACATGAGTAACTTGCCTGTGCGCACAGCAGAGATTTTGGCTTCTTGCCATGCCTTGGTGTTTGTGGATAATAAGCTGGTATGCTATTGTTATCATCTAAACAAGCAGTCTGTTTTAGGTTGTATTCTGTTTTATGTAGCATGTCGGATGCAGTATGATTGTTGATGATGCGAGCTCTTTTAGTATTCGATTGCTTATATTGTTAAAGGCATGCTAATCACAAAGGTAAAATTACAAAAAAAAAAAAACTCTACCTATCTATAACCGCTAGATATCTTCTCCCTTGCAATCATAATGAAATGTTTGCTCCTGGGATTGCAAAAAATAAAGGAGCTTCAGAAATCAAGCTTTTTTGCAGTTTGTTAATGAATGGTCAGAAAAGTATCTGTCTTATGTTTTTTCTCTTGTTCAGGATTCTTGGTCTGTTATGGATATCCTGCATCCGTTTCCCTAATTCTGTTTATTTATTTTAATTGAAGTCTGTTTCTTATAATAAAATAGATTTTTTATTTTTTTATATTTTATTTTAGCTATAATGCTTTTCCTAGATTTTCTTCTCTGCTGAATCAGTTAGTCCTTTATGTGAACAAAAAGGAAGGATAAAAGGGATCTAGGCTCTTCCTTTTTTGTTTTGGGTTTGTGTTTCTGGAGTTATCCCAAAAATCTAGTGAACATATTTCTTTTTGGAATTTTGTCTATTTTTGTTTTGCTAACTGCATCATCCAGTCTCCCTTTTGAGTCAGTTTTCCAATCCCGTGTATGAATTTAATTTCTTGAAAATGCCTTCTTTATTTAACTGGATTTTGTAACTTTCAAGTCAGTCAAGATCAATTTATCATGCTTGTTAGAAAATTAATGGCTGCATTTACTGAAAGATGAAACAAGAGATATTTCAGTGAAGAGAAATTTTATCCGTAATATTGAATTGGTTCAGGATGGTGTTATGTTTTCTATCAGGATCTAGTGACAGGTGGTATTGTTTTCTCAATTTTGTTTGGAAAATTTTGAGTGATACTGCACAACTCCCTGTAGGTTGGTGATCCTCTTGAAAAGGCTGCACTTAAAGGAATAGATTGGACCTTCAAATCTGATGAGAAGGCCATGCCAAAAAAGTAAGCTGAAGCTGCAATCTTTTGTTTTTTTGTCTATATCTATATGTCAGCAGTTATATTTGGACTCCTGGATTAATCCAGAATATCCTGTGATTCATTTAATGTATATTTCTCTTATTTTTCCCTTAGGCTGGTTGTTAAACGGTCATCCTGACTCCGTTGATTGAATAGTTGAATTCAATGGGAATGATAATGTTTTAAATAGACTGAAAGTGAGCTAATCCTTTAGAAATTTGTTTAACCAAAGAAAACCTTCAGCAGGACATTGATTAAAGTACAATCCAGGATCCATCTTGATATGAATTTGCCATTTGTATGGTATTTTTAGTAGAATGTCCAACCCAATCGTTAATCCTTAAGCCAGTTAGTTTCTTAGGGAAACTTTGTTATCGTCGTTTGCCCAAATTTTTTTAGTCAATTTTTTTTTTTACACAAAAGAACATCAAACTATGTTTATCCTTAAGCCAGGTACAGTATGACAGGTTGTGGAGAAATTAGATTTACCAGGTTGGTCTAGTGAAAACTCAGTCTGTGATGTGCTAATATATACAACAACAACAACAACAAAGCCTTATCCCACTAAGTGGGGTCGGCTGCATGAATCCTAGAACACCACTACGCTCGGTTTTGCGCCTAGTCATCCATTAGCTCAGCTGTATGAATCCTGGAATGCCACTGCGCTCGGCTGTAAGATACAAATTTGATACTTCAAAAAATGAAAAATGGGCCGGCATATTAGTTTCTTATTAATAGATGATCAATAATTTGTTAATCTAAAGTTCGATTATGTCACTGTTCATTCTTCTTTTCTGAGGCAGTCATTCCTGTGCTGTCAATATGTATGAGTGATAATTCTTTTTACATCGTACTTATTGTACTCTTCATTAAACTCAGGGGAAGTGGTCAGGCTGTGCTGATTGTTCGGAGACATCACTTTGCTTCCTACTTGAAAAGAATGGCAGTTGTAGTGCGCATTGAAGATAATTTTTTTGCTTTTGTGAAGGTTTGTCAGTCATTCATCAGTACTGCAGTGCAATTTATGATACCTGACTACCATAAGCATCAATCTTGTAACTTCCACAATCAATTGTATGAAGAAATTGTATCATTTTTATTCTTGTCATATCTTGTTATGTCTACTCTTAAAGTCAGATGTGATTTGGATTTCTGCACTTGTAGAGCTCAATACTTGTTATTTGACACAGAAGAGGAGACAAATATGTTGGTGTTAAAGTGTAGGGAATAGGGGGAAAGTAGTAACTGATATTTATTGTCTTCTAGCTTTAAGTTTGTGGCTGAAACTATTTTGGGAAGCAATTTCAATCTGGGTAATACCAAATGTTTTGATTATCAAGTGAAATAATACGGGCTTTGAGTGTGGGAAGAAGGCTAAGGTTCTTTTGGGGTTGCAGTTGTTGTCTGCAATATAAGTTGTTTTGATGCAGAGTAACATGGAAACTTTTGAAGATTATGGAGGGGTGTGGGTGGAAGATCTGCTAGGTAAATCTGGGAGCCTCAGTTTAAAATGAGTTTGGTGACTGTTCTTGTTGAATGTGAACTTGGAAAGTAATTTCTTAGGCTCCTTTGGTGATTTTAGCCTGTCCTTGGTGTTGCTATATGTCTGTTTGATATATATTTTACAGTCTTGTTTCTTTGAGCCTCCTGGTTCACCATTTTGTACTATTTCCATTTTTTTCCAATTTCAGCGGCTATTTCCTATGTAATACTAATAGGACACAATCAAATTACTCCCTTTGCTGTATCTTTGCAGTAGGAAAGATGTTCACTCCAGTATTAATAGCTGTAAACAATGATTTTGTCTTCTTTTCAGGGTGCCCCTGAAACTATTCAGGGTAGACTCACTGAGGTGCCATCATTTTATGTTGAAACTTACAAGAAATTTACTCGACAAGGGTCTCGCGTTCTGGCCCTTGCCTATAAATCTCTTCCTGACATGACAGTAAGGTTTCTGGATTTGTTATTTCTCAATTACTTTGGATAGCATTTTCTTAATGCATAATGTTTATGTAGCGAGCTTACTCATTTTTGTTTAGTGTTGAAGGTATCATAGTTTTGAGATCTCTCAGGGAGGTCATGTGTGAGGGAGTATCTTTGCATTGAGGACACAAGTTAGTGTCGATGATACTCCCTTTTTGTTTTTGTTATTATAGGTCCTGGTGGTTTATGTTAAAAGAAAATAACTTATGTATGCTCGTCATACCATGTGGTATGATTAAGCGTTGAAAGGTAGCCACACAACATGGTATTAAACTGGGTTGGATAAGGAAGAGTGTTTTGAGCCATTAAGTACAGTACTTAAACTGTAAAAAATTGTTGCCCATCTTATGGTCCTTTTTCACATGTCTTACTTTTGAGTTTATGTCTTGACTCTTGAAGCTATTAATCATAACTAGAGAGTTTTTAGGACACTCTTTTTCTTCCTTAGCCAAAATCCAACTTTTGGATTTGATGCTTTGATCTTCTACAAAATGCATGTTAAATTTCAAGCAAACCTTATTTGGCATATGATCAAGTCAAGAACGGACTAGAATCCAGGGATGAAAGCGCCAACCATGTTTTCCTCCATTGTCCGTATAGCATTCAACTTTGGTGGAAATTGCTCAAGGAAGCTGGAGCAAGATGGGTCACCCCAAAGGGCTGTTTTGAGCTCCTAAGCACCAAGTTCGAAGGCCTAGGGAAAGGGAGGAAAGCCAAAACTTTGTGGGGATCTCTGTTGATGGCCCTCTTCTGGAACATTTGGTTGGAGCGTAATAAAAGAGTCTTTGAGGATTACAAGGGAGTGGGGTTGAGGAGCTTTGGGATAGAGTAAAACACTGGGCAGCCCTTTGGGCTTCGGTTTCAGTGGAGTTTAGAGATTACAATTTCTCTTCTATTTTTAGGGATTTGTTAGCAGCCGTTAATTGATTTGGTCTAGCTTTTCCTCTGTTCAATTAGTTTTCTTTAGGGGTCCTTGCTAGTTTTCTTCTAGCTCCAGGTGGATATCTTTTCCACGTGGTTTTCTTTTTCTCTTTTGTAATTCTTTCGTTTTATAAAATTCTTTTGTTTCTTTTCAAAAAAAAAAAAAGAACAGACTAGAATCAGGATTTTCCTTTAACATTTTCCTTACTTTAGAAATTTAACCTTAATGATGAAATGGTTTAAAATATAGAATTAGTTTTCTAATTTGACATGCATAATGATCTCAAGTAAAAACATGAATTAACCAAACCTTGTCTATACTTTTCTACATTATTGTTACGTACATATGTATAATATCTGAGTAACTGAAATTAAATTCAATGACACTTCTTATACTTGAAGGGTTTTGGTCCGAGAAGCACATAGTGTTCCTTCTCTCTCTCTCTGAAGAAGTTTTATAGGCTTTGTTTTCTATATTGTATTTGAGGTGTTTTATTATCTTTTTATTGCTTGAAGGTTAGTGAAGCCAGAAGCTTGGATAGGGATGTGGTGGAGAGTGGCCTTACCTTTGCTGGTTTTGCGGTAAATTAATCGTTTCTATTAGTGTCTCGTGTAGGTTTTGGTTTCTTCCTGCTTCACGTCACTAAATTCTCGCCGTTTGAATTTCAGGTTTTTAACTGTCCTATTAGAGCAGATTCAGCCACTATTTTATCTGAGCTAAAAGGATCCTCACATGACTTGGTATGTGGTTTTCCTGACTAAAATAGTATGTGGTCTATCTGTATAAAGGAATAGTAACTTGTAACTTGGCCTTAACTACCATCACTTAAGAAGTATATGCTAGACAAAAAGAAACTATGTTTGTAAGCCATTCATTGAGGTGTAGAAATCATTTTCTTAATTTAATAGTTATATTTGGCCATAAACAATTAGAAGCGAGTCTATAGGAATATCATGGATCATGTTGCATTTCATGGAACTATTCCAATGAAGAAATATTGCAGACTGTAAGAGCCTTTGTATGGTGATAGCTGCAGAATTCAGCACTATGGACTTCTAGGTTCTGTGTAGCTATTCTTGAATACTCTCATTTGCTTTAATTCAAACCACGTTTTACTGTACAAGGATCATTGTGACCCTTTTACAGAAAGCCATTCTGCATATCTTCTTAAGGATTTTTGACCAACTGCTTGCTTTTGGGGTGTTGATTCTTTTGTGATGTCTGTATAAGCACTTTGGACTTCTAGATTGGAGTTTGGTGTAGCCATTCTTAAATATTTTCGTTTGATAAATTGAAATCATGTTTACGATTGAACACTCACGCATATCTTATTTTATTAGATAAACTCAAACCATGTTTTTGCTGTATAAGGGCCATTATTACCCTTTTATAGAGAACCATTCTTGCATATCTTCGTCAGGATATTTGACGAGCTGCATGCTTTTGGATTGTCCCGATTGTTTACAGAATTAGTGTAGTTTGTTTGTTTTGTCTTTGCCCGTGGATCTGTGGTTTGGTGTTCCTTTCCCCTGTATTTTATTGTCTTCCTTTGTATGGTACAATCAGTCTCATTCAATTTTGTAGTGAACAGAGCCGCTGTGTGGGCAGATTTAAAATTTAAGTATATATTTATTTGGAGTTTTTCTTTTGTTAGGTGATGATTACTGGTGATCAGGCCCTGACAGCTTGCCATGTTGCTAGCCAAGTTCATATTATATCAAAACCAGCATTAATTCTTGGTCCAAAGAGGGGCAGGGAAGGATATGAGTGGATATCCCCTGATGAGACTGAGATGATTCCTTACAAGTAAAGCTTTTCTTGTTAATGGATTCATTTAGTTTGGAACTCTCTATGTTTTGCTTGGCTTTAAAACCTACTAAACTTGTTCAAGATTTGGAGGTTGCTCTCCATTTCGGTTTTTATTTTTGTTTTTGCAAAAAAAATTCCTGTCTGCACTCTTTTTTGTTTTTGCTGATTCACCTGCGTATTTCTTTTTCCTTCTTTTCTCTGACTGGAATTATTGAAATTTATTTTAGTGAAAACGAGGTGGAAGCTTTGTCCGAGACTCATGATCTCTGTATTGGTGGTGACTGCTTTGAAATGTTGCAACAAACCTCTGCTGTTATACAAGTCATTCCATACGTCAAGGTGCTTGTTAATAACCAATTGTGAAGCTTATCTTTGAGTAGTGGCTTTATCTTGACGTTGCTGACCAGAGTATCTTATTAGGTTTATGCCAGAGTTGCTCCTGAGCAGAAGGAGCTGATTTTGACTACTTTCAAAACAGTGGGGAGAATAACATTGATGTGTGGAGATGGAACCAATGACGTTGGAGCATTGAAGCAGGTAATATATTTTATGGATAGTCAACTATTAATTGTGTTGTTTTTTCTCGGCAAGACAACTGACTTATTTGAAATAATAAATCCTTAAGCGTAAGTATTAAAAGTCAGTTATGGACATAACGGCAATTAGTAAAGGATAGTAGACTTGGATTAGTTTATTTCAGTCCTATGTTTTGTACTCAAAAGTAATAGGGATTGGATAGAAACCAAACTCATCAGTTTCGTTCTTGTTCATAATTATTCCCACCAACCCTGAACCCAAGACCAGAGACCTGGGTCCAGGAACTCGGGTGTTACTAAAACTATCCTATTCTTATGCTCAAACGTTGCATGTAAATTATCCTATCCTTACAAGAAAAATTAAAGTTATCCTATCCAATCTAGTCTATTCCCTTGACAACAATCCACTTAAAGCCTGGGCACCAGACAAGGCTTCAGGATGTTTTCCTCTGTATTCACTCCAGAACTATGGGGTTTCCATCAAACTTTGAAGTTAGTTATCATGGCTTCAAGCTACAAAAGACTAATTAAAGTTCTGGGGGTAGCAATATGTTTCACTCTTCATAGCGTACTCGCTTACACATGTTGACACTTGCACACAGCGTACTCGCTTACACTCTACAAAATGCAGATTAAAGATGAGTTGTCTCACTTTTTCCCTTAATAGCTTTTCAGATATTTGTTAGTACTCTTTTTTGTTATTTTAATATATGGATTTAATATAAGAAAGTCAAGTTATGGCTGGAATAGTGTATTTCTTTTTCATAATTAAGCTGTGAAATAATAAAGTATGTGTTTTGTTTCTCTCCTGTCAGGCCCATGTGGGAGTTGCTCTATTGAATGCGGTGCCTCCAACTCAGAGTGGAAAGTCGCCCAGTGAAACATCTAAAGAGCCAAAGAAGTCCAAGTCTGCATTAGATGTTGCAGGTAAATCTACTAGTGTAAATGGAGAAGTCTCTTCAAAGGGAAAAGCCACTGCAAAATTGGATCCCACTAGCAACCCAGCTGGTAACCGGAATCTGTCGGCTGCCGAGTTGAAACGACAGAAGCTAGTTTCATTGCAAAAGAGACTAATGGATGAGATGAATGAGGAGGGAGATGGTCGCTCAGCTCCAATTGTAAAGCTTGGAGACGCTTCCATGGCATCACCATTCACGGCGAAGCATGCATCCATTGCTCCAACCACTGACATAATTCGTCAAGGTCGCAGTACTCTGGTGACTACCCTCCAGATGTTTAAAATACTAGGCCTTAATTGCCTTGCGACAGCTTATGTGTTGAGTGTTATGTATTTGGATGGTGTCAAGCTTGGTGATGTGCAGGCTACAATCAGCGGTGTGTTTACAGCAGCCTTTTTCCTGTTCATCTCACATGCGCGTCCTCTTCCAACTCTTTCAGCTGAACGGCCTCATCCGAATGTCTTTTGCTCCTATGTCTTGCTTTCTCTGTTAGGACAGTTTGCAATCCACATATTTTTCTTGATATCTTCTGTGAACGAAGCTGAGAGATACATGCCGGACGAATGCATTGAACCAGACTCTGCTTTTCATCCCAACCTTGTAAATACAGTCTCGTACATGGTAAGCATGATGCTTCAGGTGGCCACCTTTGCTGTGAACTACATGGGTCATCCGTTCAATCAGAGCGTCACAGAGAACAAGCCATTCTTGTATGCCATCGTGGCTGCTGCCGGTTTCTTCACAGTTATCACTTCTGACCTATTTAGGGACTTGAATGACTGGCTTAGGCTGGTGCCCTTGCCAGTGGGATTGAGAAACAAGTTACTGTTATGGGCGCTTCTCATGTTTGTGAGCTGCTACTCATGGGAGAAATTTTTACGGTGGGCTTTCCCGGGCAAGATTCCAGCATGGAAGAAGCGACAACGCATTGCTGCTTCCAGTCTTGAAAAGAAGAAACAACTGTGAGCGAGTACAAGTTTGATGCCGGGAAAAACGACGTTGACATTTTTGGCGAATGGGCTGTGCAGAGTTATATACAGCAGAATGGAATTCAATCATGCCACAGCTCACATGACAGCATGAGCCTGGAGGTTCCATCCCCCTCTTTGATAGGAAATTTTGATCAAGATCAAATTCTAGGAGGATTATTTTTGGGACCTGTGATCTTTAAACAAACCGTATTCATAATTAGTTGCTTTTACACATTGTTTAACCCTTCATCTCCTCTGTATTTGAAATTACATGTCAAAAACTATAAATCATTTAGCCCGAATTCGATATGGGATTTCAAAAGCTAGTTTTAATTTATGATTGCATTTGATGTCAACTTCAAATAATACTAGGTTTTCATGCTAAAAATGCGAGGTTTGTAGGGACTATTTTTGACGTCAATGGAACAAAATCATGCATTTAGTCTTGCATTTTAAAGTTGTTGGAATGTTGTGGGAGCTAAATTGTTGCTCAGTTTGGTTGATTGTGTTCTGGGCAGGGCACCCTTTTATCTCAAAGTCAGTATCTTGTTACTTCTACTTTTAATTATGCGGTATTTTTATTTTGTGCTTTCAAGGTGATTTGCTACCCACTTGTTGGGCGTGGGCGTATTAGATAATATCCTTTCCATCGGCATAGTTACCACCTTATGATTGGAACGCCACAGTAGCAATGAATCTATGTCATGTAAGTCATTCTATCAATTTAAAGGACTCGGAAGAAACAGTGTGGGAATTCTTGGGTCCCAAGCAACCGCAATGATTGTTGATGGCTTTAGGTCCCAAGCAACAACAATGATTCTAGTTTGATTCAAGACAATGGTTGCCGAGGAGGTTAGCTACATGCGTATCTGTGTTGAGAGTTATCCCATATTGGTGAGGGACAAGGTTTGCTATGTGCTTATATGATCTTGGGCTACTTCTCATATTGCTAATTGGTTTTATGGTGGAACCTCAATTTCATCAATTGTAAATACATTGATAATACATCGATTAAGTGAAAATGCGTGTGTTTATATCTACCAGATAAATGCTACTAAACGAACCTCACCTATACAATTAAAAGGGAAAAAAAAATTAAACAATATGTTCAAATTAATACACATGCAACCCCTAATGATCTTTAACAACTGAAACTGCATAAGTCTGTTTATAATTAAGTGATGATTAGTAGGTATGTGTGTAACCTCCCATGTTTATGTTATGATGAGGGTTATGTTGTAGTTTTGTCAATCCTATCTGCCCTTGCATCCCATCCCTTGCATACTGATGCCACATCAACTGCTCGTCCATCAACAGCTTCTGCTTCCTCTCCAGGTCTGACATTTGCACGTATGATGGCGGCGGCACTACTAACGACGCAGCAAACGGGTCCACGTGTACACTTGACTTGCTTGGATGATCTAACGACGACGACGATGATGATGGTGGTGGTGCAGGCAATGCTAGCATTGCAGGCCGTCCTGCAGACCCTAATGCAACACTGCTCGCACTCCCACTCACTCCATACCCTGGCCCTGCCATTGCGGCTGATACCTCCGCTTGCTGGTACAATCCGTCCAGCAACAACAAGTCAAAACCTCCCCCGAGGGACGCCTTTTGATTTGACAAGTGGCTTGCCGACTGGACTAACGCGGCTTCCCAATCAGCTTCGTTAGCAAACGCTTCCCATGCCGGTGGACCTGCTGGTGCTTGTTCAGTGGCGCCGTTGAACAAAGCCAACGCCAATTTGTCAGCGTGTTCGTTGCTCGACACAGCGTCTTCTCCCAAGTTCAACAGATCGCCTTCTTCTTGTTGCGGTTTCTTAATTTGCTCTTCCTTTACTGGTTCTTTCTCTTTGTTATTGTTTTCCTCAACGAAACCCTCGGGCGGTGGCAGCGCCTTCATTGCATTCATGTCTTCTTCTTCGTCTTCCCCATGATTTGATTCTTTATCGTTGTTGGCCACATCAATCTTCTGTTGGTCTAGTAGCTCCTTTACCGATCTCTTGCCTTGAGCCAAAGCCGACTTGTCCCGTATGTACTCGTCCATCACCTCCAGCTTCTTGGGGGTAATCCTCTCAACCTCCGGGTACTCTGAGGAGCACGCAATCCCGATTTGTTTGCACCATCCATAGAGCATGTCCAGTTCATCGAATTGCTTTCCGATGCGGCAGAAGATCTCGTACACCTTGGCACAGTCCGGGATCTCCAGCTCCATGAAGCGGTCTATTAAGATGCCCATTATTTCTGTTATGTCGTAGTATACCTGGAAACTCTCTTTTACTATCGGATACAAGGCCACTATTACAACCCTATTGTTCTTTGCTACGCCTGTGATTAAAATCCATGCACATAACAAAAACAAAAATGTTAGAAATGCTTAATTAATATTTTAATTTATCTACAAGAAATGTGTAGTTCTCTGTGAAAAAAGAAGAAAAAGACAACAAAAGTACAAAAGACTAAGTGTCACTCTAGAGTAGAGAGTGATTGACTGGTATCGAATGACAATCTACAATGTATTCGAAAAGTATCAATAAAAATCGATCATATATCAATAATACAGAATATAACGTAGTTTATAAAATAAGATACAAAAATAAGCTTTCCTCTTCTAAATAACCGTGCATGTATTTAATAAGTCGATCATATAATGGGCAATGATTTTCTTGTAGAAATTATACAATAGAATGAAAGAATTGAATATATCATGCGTACGTGGCCATGCATGCAGGGATGAAATATTTGCACGCACGTCTGTTTAGAGTTGGGTGAGGAAAAATAAAATTGATCGAACCTGTTGGGCGACATGCTAAGAAGCGCTCAAGGAGCTGCTGCAAATGCTGCATCCTAGAAAACAACTTGTCGGCTTTCATTTCATGCACCGGCGTCGCTTTCGGACATGACTGCTGGTTGGTAAAATTATTGGCCGCCTCCTGAGGATCTTCGAATTCATCTTCATCAAACCCGAATGCACTGCGTTTCCCACGCCGGCTTTGCATTCGGAACTCAAGCCGTTCGTCCAGATACAATGCATACGTGCGCACAAACGCAGAATAGTCCCAGGAATTGGAGCGTGAGGTGTCGCGAAAATCAGACATGTTGAGAAAGCGAGTGCCGCGCCTTGTGGAGAAAAATATTTCTTGTTCGTAAGCAGGGTCGCCCTCGGACAGCAGCCGTTGGACTAACATGAGGGTCTTGAGGGCGACGATCCAGTTTTTGGTCTTGTTCAGGCGCCGGGAGATGGTGTTGATGCAAGCGCTGATGAAATCGCGTGAGTAGCATGTTAAGCTGAGAATTTCTCGTACGTATTTCTCCTCGGTCGGGTATTCTTCGTGTCTTGTTGCTTTCACAATGGCTACGTCTAGGTCCGCCAAAGAGGCGCTGCTACCAACTTTGGCGAGGCCTATGCTGGTTTGGTCCTTCACGGCCCCCAAAGCTCTTCTAAATTTGCTTGAAGCCATGAATATTCTATATATTTTTCTATGTATACACACCTAGCAGCAGGTGTCACAAATTAAAATGACCTTATTTGCAATATTAAAAAGATTAAGGAAATATTTGATAAAAATTAAGAAAAGAAGAGAAGATTTCCCTCTCTTCTCCTCTTTTGTTGTTTGTTGTTTGTTTTTTGTTTTCTTTGTTTTCTCCTTTCTCGGTCCCTATTTCCTCCCTTATTGCATAAACCCAAGTTTTTACGCCTTTCAATGTAACCATGCATTCTTGTGCGATATTGTAGCATCAAAATGTGGAAATTCAATGGCAGTGAAAGAGCCACGTGTCACATGATGATTGCCAGTTTATCGTTACTACTACTGCTTGCGTTTATAAACGTAGTTTTTATTTACCTGTCTTTCGTTGGGGTCAAAGGACATTCTTAGCCTGTCATGGCAATTTTACCATTTAGACGGTCTTGGGACCAAGAAAATGATTGGTGCGTCAAAGGTGGTGTTGAAAAAGCAGCTGGATCTTCTAAATTTTCTTCCCTATTTTTCTCTCAATTTCCACAAATATTCTCGATTTAGATTCAAAAAATCCCTGGGAAAAAAAATAATCTCAGTAACGGAAACGATAGGGGCCGAGAGAGATCCAACGATGAACAGCTACCTAAAAGAAAAATTGCATGAAAGTTTGAGGACAAGGATTGAGATCTACTTCAGATCTGTGTCTGGAGTTGCGAACTGAAAGATCTAGACCATTCAATTTCCTATTAGCGTATCTCACTGGTCCACTTTACAAAAACTCAAAAATTTAAATGGCCCAGATCTCTCTCTTTTTTGAACAGTCCGAATCTCTCGATTCGCAGGCTTCGAACACTAAAATTCAGAGGAGATCTCATTCCGACCTATAGTACCATACCCTACCCAATTAAACAGATTCAACGGTTGATTTTTGCTGGTTGAGTTTTGTCAACTAGGGACTGAAATTGTGAAACTCGAAGGTTTTAGTGGATAAGAGTTTCTTGGCTTTTATAAGAAGTATTGATAAACATAAATATTGAGTAGATCTATTTATTCAATCATACACCAACAGTATGATGGGGATCGGCCCGGGGGGGGGGGGGTCTTTGGCAAAATTTTCCTTTTTCAAATTGATCTACTATGACCGGAATTTTTCAACTTAAAACGTGGATGAACACAAACTACAACGAGAGACGAAACTGTTGAGAAATTAATTAATACCTTTAGACCAATTTCAATCTTACGAGGATTACATGGTTATTTATTTAACAAGTTAAAGCCCTACTAAATGGGAAAAATTCGCGGAATCTAGCTCAAGGCTCCCTTGATGCCTTCTTGTAACTTGTGAAGGAGCTTGATAAACTTGGTATAAGCTCTCTCAACTGTGTTCGAATACAGTGAAAATCCTAGAATGAGTACTAATTTAACCTAGAGGTGTAGATAGGTTTCAATTTAAAACTAATTCAAATTATGATTTAAATTAACTAGTTATGCAAACTAAATCCTACACAAATATTCAGCATAAATATAAAGAGTGCGCATATGAAGTAGGATTTAACGAGAAAAAACTCATCACTAGGAAAATCCTCAGGCTACCAAGTCAGGAAGCACTAAGAAAGAAAGAATACATAAAGACTTACAAAAACTCATCAACTAGACACCCATACTAGCTGGCAGCTTCGTCTTCATGCCTTGCTACTTGATTTTTCTTCAGCCTTTGAGTTGAAGTGGCACGACACTAACACGGTCATCAATCACATTTCCCTCGAACTTTGCAAGATACTAACTCGATCATGCATAATGTATATATGATGAAGTGTTTGTTGAAAAACAATCAATTACGAAAATCACTATGAAAAATAATATTTTCTCTTAAA